TACATATTTTTTATTTACTTTTATGTGTTATGTTTTTATGTATTACGTATTTATATATTTTTTAAAGTTTTTTATATAGATGTTTATGTATTTTAAATGTATAAACATATTTTTACGTATTTATATTGTATTTTTATGTATTTTACATATTTTTGTGTTTTTATATGTATTACGTATTTATATGTATTTTTTTATATATTTATGTATTTTTAAAGTTTTTTATATAGGTGTTTATGTATTTTTATGTATTTTAAATACATAACTATATATATTTTTTTACGTATTTATGTATTTCTTACTTCAAGTTGTCTTCACCATTTTATCCAAATTCATACAACTTCTTCGAGTATGTTTAGATGATTTTTCTACAAACTCATATATGTTAAGCTTTTCCCATTCACTTATCTTGAAATTAAACATCGAAAGAGAAAAGCTTAAAATATGTAGGTACGTATGAAAACTATCTTAACATACGCAAAGAAGCCGTGCGAATGAGATGAAATGGTGAAGTCGACTTGAAGTAAAAAAATAAATAAATAAGTAAAAATAATACGGTTATACATTTAAACTACATAGAAATACATAAACATTTATATAAAAAACTAAAAAATTACATAAATACATATAAATACGTAATACATAAAAAAACATATAAAAATATAAAAAAGATGTAAAATACTTAAAAAATACATATAAATACGTAAAACAATACGTTTATATATTTCAAATACATAAAAAAATACATAAACTTCTATATAAAAAACTTAAAAATTCATAAATGCATAAAAATACATATAAATACGTAATACATAAAAAACACATAAAAGTATATTAAAATATATGTAAAATACTTAAAAATACATATAAATACGTAAAAAATACGTTTATACATTTAAAATACATAAACATCTATCTAAAACTTTAAAAAAATACATAAATATGTAAAAATACATATAAATACGTAATACATAAAAAAATAACACATAATTTTTTTTTAAATGGTTAAAAATACATAAAAATACGTAAAAAAATATGTTTATATATTTAAAATACAAATATATACGTAAACATATACATATAAAAACTTAAAAAAGTACATACATATGTAAAAATATATATAAATACGTAAAAAATACGTTTATACATCATATACAAATATTGACGAAATCTACAGAAAAATCATTATTTTCAAAAAATTAACAGTTTGGTCTCATGACCTGCTAAACAGGTCAAAAGGGGGCTAAAGTGAAAAAATTAGCCGGTTTTTTGAACTTTTCTATTCAAAAAGTTAAAAAGTTGGGACTTTACTGTTCATAAAATAAAACTTGGGACTTATTAAAGATTTTTCAAATATATTAAATTTTTTTTGAAGATTTCCCTTAATTTTCCTACAATTAGTTGTTGTATCCTAGGTGCTTTCCGATTGATCTCTTATGTTAGTAGTTTTGCAACATTGGGTTTTTTTATTATTTTTTGTCGGTTAAATCTGTAAAATTTAAATAGTTGAGAAAAAAAAGTAATTGTTCAAATGGGCCAAACATGTTAGATAGTTGCTACTTGCTGATCACTTAAAGTGCATTAAATCAAATACAATTATACAAGTATACAACATCGTAACCCGTTTTATTCACAAGTGTTAATTGTAATAATATATAGTTTTTTCAATCATATTTAAGAGATTAAGCTTTGGCAAGTTATGTTACATCAAATTATTTTTCAAGTTTTTTAAATTATCAAGTCTGATAAACTAAAAAATAATTTGTAAACTACAATTCAAAAAGTACTTAAATTAACGTTTCAATTTAATAAACTTAAGAAAGTTTTTTTTTTCTTTCCAAATATAGGATTTGAATAAATTTATGAGGTTTGTAAGTTATTTTTCAAAAAAAGATAATAATAATTCAAGATGAAATATATCGTTTCTATAATTTATCACCTAAAAAAACAAATTGTTGTATCACATTATCCAAATTCCAAACCCTTTAGTTAGACAAAATTACAAAATTCATCCCTGTGGTTTGTCAAAAGTCACAAAGTCAACCCCTGTTAATTTTTTTGATGCAAATGGTCTTTGTGGTTTGCAAAACTTGCAAAGTTTGCCCTTTTTACTAACACCGTTAGTAAAACGCCGTTAGAGACTGAATCTGTAAGGGTATTTCGACTTTTCAAGTATAAAATGACTGAATTCGTGACATTTGATAAACCACAAGATCCATTTTTTAAATTTTTTGAAAAAGACAATTAAATTGCTATGGGGAGGGATCCAACTCATGAGCTCCACCCTTCTATTTTGCCCAGCGATTTAACCACTTGAGCTAAAGGCTTACTTGGTTTTTACCTTCTAAAACTCATTTATATAATAATAAATCGATAAAACATAAACAATAAATAAATTAAAAAAAAACATTTTTTTACATAATTTTTTTTAATAAAACAAAATGTATTTTAGTGTATTATAAAAAAATACGTTTAGAAAAATTATTTATTTTTATGTATTTATTTTACATAAAATGTTTTTTTAACAAAACATTTTTTTACATATTTATTTTTATGTATTTATTTTACATAAAATGTTTTTTTATGTCTTTAAAAAAACCGTTTTCGATATAATGTTATTACTGTACGTTGTAATGAAGGCAAAATCGGCCGAACTGTTTGTTTTTTTGGCCCAATCGGGCGTTCGAAAAAACCGGTTTTTTCGGTAAAAAAAACGTAACAACAATGGTTTATATGTATTTTAAACAATTAATATTTTTTTATGTCACAAGTCGTGTTAATTTATTGTTATTTTAAAAAAATATATCTTTATTTCTTTTCATCGTCATTTTAAACATACGATTTAGAACTAGCGGTTAAGTTGAAATACGTATTTAAATAAGACATACAACCGAACGGTTTTATAAGTGTTTTTTAAATACATATAACCGAAAAACGATTTTTAGAAATACATAAACCACAACATATTTTACTTAAAAATAACATACATAAAAATATGTTTTATTTCTTGTTTAGTTTTTATCGATTTTATTATTGTCTCTAGGAGTTTTAGCCGCAAAAACCTACGTTTTGTTTTATTTAACACACGTTTTTTTTTTTTGTAACTTACTTCTTTTTTTAATACCGGAAACACGTTTTATTTTATTTTAAAAAAAATTAGTAAAAAAAATGTTTTTTGTGTTTATTTATTGTTTATGTTTTATTAAAAAAAACACTTTTATGTAATACAATACCAAATAAATACTCTTTTCTAAACGTATTTTTTAATAATCCGCTCCCCTACATTTTGTTTTATTAAAAAAAATTATGTAAAAAAAATATTTTTTTTAATTTTATTTATTGTTTATGTTTTATTAAAAAAAACATTTTATGTCCTCCATAAAACTAACCTACTTTTTCTCCCCGTATTTTTCCTAATACGCTAAACTAAATTTGTTTTATTAAAACAATTATGTAAACAAAATCTTTTTTATATTTTATTTCTTGTTATTTTTATCGATTTCTTCTTATAAATGAGTTTTAGCCGGTAAAAACCAAGTGAGCCTTTAGCTCAAGTGGTTAAGTCGATGGGCAAAACAGTAGGGTGGAGGTAATGAGTTCGATCCCTCCCCTAGCAATTTAATTGTCTTTTTCAAAGAAATTTCAAAAATGGTCTCTGTGGTTTATCGAATGTCACGAATTCAGTCCCTTTATGAAAATACTCTTACAGATTCAGTACCCCCACGGCGTTGTGTTAGTAAAAAAGGCAAACTTTGCAAGTTTTGCAAACCACAAGGAGCATTTGCATCAAAAAAAGTTAGCAGGGACTAACTTTGTGACTTTTGGCAAACCACAGGACCATTTTTGTAATTTTGTCTTTTAGTTATCTTGAACCATTCTATAAGAACCCCTCTGTAAGAATATATACTTTAGTTAAAACATGAATTTAAAATTGACACTTCAAAATATTATTTATATCCAGATAAATTAAAGAAAAAATTATGTTAAATAAAGTGACATTTTTACACTATATTGTAATCTTTTGCGATGTTTGTATTCATTATATTACTAAGAATGGACATGTTTAATTTATGAAATATAATATAAGAAATTTTACTTAAACATAAATAATTGATTTTTTTTTTATTTAGTGTTTCTAATAAATGTATTACGTATTTGGCTTATAATAATGAATTATTCATCTACATACATATTCATGTCATTTTGTATTTTCAAAGTAGACTAACATATTACACCATTCTTTTACATCATAAATGATGCAAATAATATCTCATTCTCAACTATACATTTTCTACATAAAAAAGTATATTCCTTGGCTACTATATTTTCTTTGTAAACTATATTTTGTGTAAAAACTTTATAAAACATACTATTACAAAGTTATAATTTTATATTATTAATTCAAATTTGATGTTATTTTCTCAAAATGACATTTGTTAAAAAAACTACATTTATAACACATGTTACTATGTTTTAATATTTTAAAGTATGTAAATTTCTAAATAAGATTCAAAACATTAATAAAGTTTTATAGTATCATATCAGTTTAATATATAACACAATATTTTTAGAAGCTACGCCAAACGCAACTAGTATCTTTTTAATGCCACTTTATTATAACTAAAAATTAATATTTAGGATTTTTATAAACTAGAATATATTGAGGATTTTATAAACTAGAATTGAATCATCCAAACATAGCCTCAGTCTTCAGCAAATTACAATACTATTCAAAGAATTCGGATATAAAATAAATAAAGGATATTACAGAACTATCGGTTAGAATTTTAAAAATAGTGTTTTTAAATATAAGCCTTTCCCATCTATGATTCCAACCATTTTCTTGTAAAAAATAATGTTGATATATTAGCATTTGAATACAAATGATCAATTTACACTTTTAGAAAAATAATAACATTGTCTGATTTTTACTTTTAGTTGGTTAACCAATTTTGTTGCATCTTTGTTACCCAAAAACACTAAAAACTGACTAGCTGTCACTTAGAATATAGTAAAATAATCAAATCATGGGTTAAAAACATACATCCAATTCCAAACACCTCTATATTCTTACACACTTTGAAATCGATAATTTTTTTTGAACTTTTCAACAAATGATTAAATCACATAGGAAGATCAGGATCCAATCGTCTTTGAATAGCACTTGCTGCCTGTAAACATAACAATTCAAAACACAAACATTATTATTTATTGCAAACAATTTTAAATTATTTTTTTTCGATATAAAAATATAAATAGTATAGCATATACCCACCTCAACGTTGCCGATTTTGAACAAGTAATTCATCTCTTCTCTTAGTATAGCTTGTTCTTTCATTGCTTGCGCCTACCAATCCAAACATATACACAGTCAGATAACAGATAACAGATAACAGATAAACGTGGTCAAAGTAGAGATATGATAAATACCATTCCACTTTGCATGGAGCGCTTCAAAGCTTCTACCTCCGCTTCCTTCTGTTTCTCACGCTCTCGTTGCAATTCTAGTCTGAGAAAACAAACCATAAAATACAATCGTGTCATGGGCATGCAAAAAGACGTAAATGCCCTCATCATAAAATGAAAACATACCGGCGTTGCTCTTCATCATCAAACACAACACGTTCTGATTTTGTGGCTTTTGTGGACCCTTTTTTAATGGCTTTTTCAATTTTCCTTCGGTGATAAGCATCAAGGCTATAGTATCTGTGACCCAAAAGATATATAATAAAAACTTTATAAGAAATTTAAGCACTCTATGCATTGTATAACATTAAGAACAGATTCTTTACTTACTTTTTATGAGGAAAAGTGGCAGTGTTATGGTCTTCCATGAACCTGTAGGGGTATTTAGGTCAGAATGACGAATTTAATAGAAAAAAGGTAAAGAAAAATTGGGATTTACAAGAATTGGATAAAGAATCAGTGAAAAAAAACATACTGTTTGAACATTTGCTTCTCTTCCCAGGTGGGAAGACTTTCAAGATTCGCCTGCAATTGCAAATATGAAAAGGAAAAGGGCATTATAGTCAGAAACTGTACTTGCTAAATGCTAAATCATGTAGCAAAGACATTGAATTGTTAATAAGAAAGTGTGCAAAGTGAACACCTGTTTCACTTCTGCAAGCCATGCAGTGAACTCTGGTCTTTTGTTCCTGCAAACAAATAGAAAGATGATTATCATGGAACAATTTGTGAACAGAATCAATAATTGATATCCTAATTTTATGTATCAGGAATTCAAATTCAATGTTTTCTAAAACCTTATTCAGGATTTGCAGGTTAAATTGTGCTGATAGCTTAATGAACACAATGGCAAGTAAACTGTAAAGAAGAATCAATGAAAACAAAGCTAAACACTTACCACATATCAGTTTCTCTAATAATTCCATACTTCCCCCATGAATCTGTAACAGCTCCCTTTTTCACCTTCTCTTTCTTCTTATCCTTCTTTTTCTTCTTCTTCTTCGACTTATCTTCATCCCTCTCTTTCCTTCTCTTCTTCTTCTCTTTCTCTCTTCTCCTTCTCTTTTCTTTCTCCTCCCTTTTCTTCCTCTCCTTCCTCTTTCCTCCGCCGCCTCTCCTCCTCACTTTCGGTTTCATCCTCTGAAGAATATTCCGAACTTCCCGACTCCGACTCCGATTCCGACTCAGAGTCAGTATCGGAATCCGACCGATCGTCATCCTCGTCGTCGCTGTATTCCCGTCGTGACTTCGTTCTGGACCGGCGGTTTCTCTTCCTTTTGCTGCTCCGGCGGCCACTGTCTTTGCTTCCGCGATCGGATCCGGATGAGACGTTGGATTCAGGGTCGGGTAAATCTTCCGATTTCCTCTTGGATTTGTGATGATGGTGATGTTCTTTCTTGGAGGATGCTCCTTTGAGAACTCTGTCGTCGTCTGAGGTATCTCCTCGGTCCTTCGCCATTACCGGATTGCTGATAAGGGTTTTGAAAATTTGCGAGTGAAAATAAGAAAAGAAAGACGGGAAAAAACCTAAAACGCAATAAAAATGTTGACCGGTGTTTGGCTAATGTGTCGAAAAAGGGGTATGCAACGAGTCGATCCTCCGTATACGAGGATCAAATCGAAACCTTAAAATTTAAACTAAAGACAAAATTGCAAGAATGATCCTGTGATATGTCAAAAAATGAGTTTGGTTCGCAAGGATAGTCTAATAGTTTCGTTTTGTTGCGAGTTTAGTCCAATTTCCTATGAACTTTTTTATAACGACGGATTTGCCCCTTGTTATTTTATTTTCCATTTTTATTTTATTACAATAATTAAAAACAATTAAAAATAAAACAAAAAAATAAATAAGCTATAAACCTAAACACGTCGTCTCCCTCCCCTATTTCTTCTACAATGTTTCCTCTCCATCGGTATCACCGCCGATACGAGTACTCCGACAACTCCAAGGCATCTCCAGTCACTCTAAGGCACCTACACTATAAAACCTCACCACATGCCAACCCACTTTCCCCATTCCCTTTCCCGTTTCCCTTCTGTCATCCCTAAAACTAGGTCATAACTCCATTACGCAGACGCATGATGCAACAAAATCTTAGCGACCATCATGCAAAATCGAAGAAGAGGGAGATTCAGATCGGTGAAGCAGGTTCAGATTGAGCCTACAGATTCATCGATTTAGGGTTACACAAAAGAACAACAACTCTAGGGCTTGAAAGATTCATCGATTTAGGGTTACACAAAACGGGGAAAGAAGTATCATATAAATGTACTCACGAAGAACAACAACTCTTCCAAGATGTTGTTTACTCTAATCTCGTTTCTCTAGGTCACTGATTCTGGGAACAACTCTTAATTGCATTTTGATCCTGAAAAAAAAAGACTCCCTGTTCAAAATCAATCGGATTTGTTAGATATTGATAAAGACTAAGATGAATGGTAAGAAGTAAACACAGTTCTTCTCGTTCTGGCATAAGAGTAGAAAATGAAGAGTTTGTTATGGTCAGACCTTTCAATGATTCCGACGATCGAGATTCTTTTTCATATGAAGACGAAGATAATCATGGAGATATCTATGTCTGTGTTCATGGCGTTAATTTACGTGATGGTAAGGTTGTAAGTGAAAGCAAGCAAGAAAAGGTAAACGATGAAGCGTTGAGATCGTACTCCTAATTCGCAGGGGAGAGAGAGAGAGAGAGAGAGAGAGAGAGAGAGAGAGAGATTTATTTTGTATTATTTTTAATTGTTTTTTAACTGTTGTAATAAAAGAAAAATGGAAAATAAAATAATAAGGGGAAAATACGTAATTATAAAAAAGTTCATAGGAAATTGGACTAAACTCGCAACAAAACGAAACTATTGGACCATCCTTGCGAGCCAAACCCATTTTGGACCAAAGTTGCTAGTTTTGACATACCACAGGGACCATTCTCGTAATTTTGTCTAAACTAAATAAAATAAAAAAAATAAAAGAGTAAATTACATGAATGGTCTCTATGGTTTGGGGTAATTTATGTGTTTGGTTTCTAATTTATTTTTTAACTCAGAAGGTCTATATTGTTTGTTTTTGTTACGTGATTGGTCCATGTCTTATCTAAAAGGACTATTATGCCTTTATTAATTTCCTTTTTAATTAATTTTATTATTTATATTATTTTAATTTCTTGTTGTAAATAAGAAAAAAAGGCATGTGGGTCCCACTCCTTTACTGTCTCTCTCAATACATTTGGTCAATTGACCCTTCATCACCATCATCGTCGACCTCCCCCGTCCTTAATCCGCCCTCTTCTCTATAGACTTGACACTACTCCTTCCTCTGTCTCTAGCGTCGAGTATCTCCTTCAGTCTCTCCTCACCGCCCACTTCTTCATCACTGATAGAACCCCGAATTCAAATTACCCCTTTGTGACCTAGATATTACTGCAAACACTATTACTCATGATGTCAACCATCCGATCGTCGCTTGCCCTATCGTCTCTGTTGTCTCTCTCTATCGGCCAGACATGACACATGACACACCTCCATTTCCATGTTCTATCTGACTGTCTCACATGTCATCAATGTTGTATACCGTCGCTGGTCACCATCATAAGCAATCGTCGGCTACCTCCATCGCCAAGTGAACGTCACTGACCTCCATTGTCAATTTGATCGCATGTGGTCTCAGTTGAGTTCTATTCAGTTGCTTTGTATAAATTTCTTTATTTGATTTCAAGTATTGTTGCATAAATATATGTCCACGAATGTTTAATTTCAAGTTTTTGAGTATGATATAAAGTGTATCTACATAAATTGTATTTCAAGTTTCAATTCGTGCTACATGTATGATTTGTGTTTCAATTTCCGTTTCAATTTTGATCTCAGATTTCATAACTGATTTATGCTTCAATATTTGCATTACAGTCCGATTCTTAATGGTAAATATTATATATTATGTCAAGGCTTATTGATAAATTTGATTTTAGATGCAGACATACAATGGTTTTAACTTTGATGATAGGATGGATGGTGGTGGTGAAGAATACAATATATAGCTTTCTAAGGAGGGGGGGGGGGGGCAGTCACAAACATGAAAGGGGAATGGTGGGGTAGGTAAGGTAAGGTGAGGTGGTGGTGGGGTCGGGGGTGTGTTTATTTAAATAAATTAAAAAAAAACAAGGACAAAATAGTTTTTTTTTTAGGTAAGAGAGAGACCAAGCGTGCGACAAAAACAAACAGTAGGGACCTTTCGAGTTAAAAAAATAAGTTAGAGACCAAACATGCAAATTACCCCAAACCATAAAATAAAATAAACATTAGGCTTGAGGGAGTGTCCCTCATGTTACCACAATGTTATATAGATGTCACCTCAACATTTACCACAAAGGTGTGATTTCTTACCACATCTAAGGAGTGGTGCCATATATATTTTTTTCTTTGTTAATAAATAAAAACTTTAGTTATAATTAAAAACATAATATTTCATTAATTAAAAAAAAGTAACATCACATTAAAAAAAATCCTAAAAACTTAGCAAAAAAATACAAATCTTAAACCTACAAACACACACACACCAAACGATATAAAAAAAAATACCACTTAGCATAACGTTTTTTGACATCACCACCACCCGCCACCACCACCCATCACTAACCACCACCATCGCCACCAACCACCACCCACCACCCACCACCTATAACTACCCACCACCCATCACCACCGCCTGCCACCACCACCCACAATCACTACTTACCATCCATCACCACCACCACCCATCACTACCCCACCACCACCCGCCACCACCACCCATCACTAACCACCACCACCAACCACCACCCACCACCCATCACCCATCACCATCACCACCACCAACCACCACCTGCCACCACCACCACCCACTGCCATCACCACTCAACCACCACCACCCGCCACCACCACCTGCCTCCACTGCCCGCCACCACCACCAACAACCATTGCCTACCACCCATCACCACCACCCGCCACTACCACCCATCACTACCCACCACCACCAACCTATACCCACCACCCATCACTACCCACCACCCACCACCACTCACCACCCACCCACCACAACCACCACCCACCACCACAACCACCACCCACCACCCGCTGCCACCACCCATCACTACCCACCACCACCTGCCACCACCACCTGCCACCACCACCATCCACCCACCACAACCACCACCACCACCAACCACCACCCGACCACCATCATCACCACTCGCCACCACCACCCACACCCACCCACCACCCACGAAAACCACCACCCATCACTATCACATGTGATTAAATACATCAGAATAACTATTGGATCGAGAACACGAAAATTAATTTTGTCCATATAAATCATATGTGATTAGATATATTTTAATCACGTATGACTATATACATGCGACCTGCTATTGAATTGACAACAAGAAAATACATGTTGTCTACATAAATCATTAATGTTAGACATATATAATCACATGTGATTATATGTATGTAATCACATATGATTTATGTGAACAAGATTCGTTTTCATGTTATCGATTCAATATTTGTTCTCGTGTGTTTAATCACATGTGATTATCTTTATTAAATCAAATATTATTTATTTGGACAATTCATTTTCGCATACTCGATTCAATAGTTATTTTTATTTATTTAATCAATGTGATTATGTTATTCACATATAAATATTAATGACAATAATTTTTATTTTTTATTTATTTAAACAAATGTTGATTTTTTAAATAATCACATGCAATCAACCGTGACTGAACTTGATGACGTTGCCGGTTTGCAACAATCTGAGTAGCATCTTTGCGAGCCTATGAAAGAAATTCAAGTATCCAACTAAACTTAGTCGAATCAGAAGAAATCATATAGATATGTAAAGTGTAATCATCCTAAAAGTGCAGGAGGCAAAGACCATGATTATTGGTGATTGATGAACCATGATAGAGAGATGCTTACTTCTAAGTTTAACTTAGGAAGACAGTGTAACGCCCATGTTTCTAGGCTAGGCATTAATATTGACATAATGGTCTAGGTTAACCTTTGTAACTCATTTAGAAGAAATGAAAAGGAATTATGTGAATATTATGTGAATTATGTGTTTTATGCTTAATTATTAGGGTTTAATTAATTAAGAATAAAAATAAGCGTCAAAATTTTAGATAAAGCCGATATCTATTAAGAAACTTGTAGTGGGCGTGACAAGGATTACGGATATATAAAGAATGCCGAAATTCGAGTTATAACGAAGAAGTTATGACCTGTCGAAGTTTCACGATAAACCGGCACGGTGCCGAATGTCGTAAAAAGTGAGTTTTTGATAAAATACTTTTTAGCCTCAGTGATCTAAACGAAACTCGTAGTGTTCGTTAAACCGAGAGTAGGTATAAAAAGGAACACCCAAATCTGACTTCGTATGGGGAAGTTATGATTTTTCGAAGTTTCAGCTTAGCAGTAGACAGCTAAAAACTCGAATTTTAGATCGAGTGATTTTTAACCGACACGACCTAAACGAGAATCGAAGGTCTCGTCATTAGTATCACAACGGTAAAAAGTCTGACGAAAACGGACGTCGGATGAAGAAGTTATGAATTTTTAACAAATTTCCTGTCCCGGTCTGTTAAAAATAATAATTTAAAAATTAAAGTCAAAATTAGCCGACGAAGTCTAAACGAAAGTTGTAGAGCGTAATTTTACCTACGCGTGCATATAAAGAACGTCAAAAACGGAGCTCGTATGCGAAAGTTATGGATTTTAGAAGTTTTTGCACAAAAATCGAGAAAATTCGCATAGTCACGTTTTTGCCACGTCACCTTCGCTTAGAGCATGCCACGTGTCCGAAGCGGTCCAATGCATGTCTGACGCGTGTCCTCTTTCACGTGTCCGAGCCTTCGCGAGAGTGCCACGAACCCCCTACTTCGGACCCTAGGCCGCGGTCCAATCAGGAGGCGACACCGAGGCTTCGCACGCGCAGACCATGTGCGAGCACATGCGCACCCTCGCCCAGCTGCTGTCGCGTGGCCTTCTCTCCTGATGCCACC